TTTTTTTTTTTTGTTTTCTGTTTCTCAAGTTTAGGACTGTATTCTGGCCGTATTTGGCTTTATCAATTAGGTTGGTTTTATATGGTTATTATCAAAGCATAAAATTGTCATTGCGTCATTTGCCCGACTGTGTCAGTTGACCACTAGTCAATACGGTGCTGATTGTCATACATGACACCATAGTGGGCAGAGTAATAAATGCAAACCCCATGGATAGTTTGCACCATTTGTCCCTTTTTAGAGGTGTTTTGTCTATTTTGCATTTTTAGTATGCAACTACCCACCAACGGATCATTATAGTGCATATCGCTGGATTTGGGAAAGATGAGGACTGTTTTTGTTGACTGTATTAGGAAGAAGAGAAAGGACAGAGTTGATTGACTATAATAGAACCACAATAATAGTTATTTCAGTATCTTGGATGCTGCAGTTGGTGCTTACTTGATTGTCTACAGAGATATCTGTTGATATTCCATTATTTTCCCAGTTAGACTTCTCTAGACATCTTCTTTTAAGCACTAGTGGTCTGGGCTCCTGTAATGATATTTATCAGCCCAAGTGTATGAGTTGATCCTAATTGAAGCGTGGAACATAGACAATAGGAATTCTGACAATTGCAACTGTTCTTTGTTAAGCAGGTCAGTGAAAATGACATTCTTAAGCAGGTATACGATTCATTTTACTTTGAATTTTCAGCATCAGCATCTTCTTCTTCTTTCTTCTTTTGCGAAAAGGGGTTAGGGGCCTTTGGGCGTCACAAATTGAGCTATACTAATAATTGATGCGTTGGATAGGCAGATGGCCATCATGGAGAAAACAGGACTTACTAATCAGTAAAGAAAACGAAGATACTGTGTAAGAGTATTTAAGTTTACTTTTTGATGGCATTAGCTGCAGTTTCATAACGCACCATTTTGTTAGCTTGATATGTGTTTGAACTTTGCAGGCACTTGCTCTGTGGTTCAAAAAGGAGGACTCATCATCAGTCCCTTGAATGATTGCGATCCAAGAAATGAGGCTATACTTGGTGTGTTCATGAAGACTAGGATTCGATGGAGTTCTATTTCTCGCCAGGCAGCTCGTGGTGAAGTTATCATGTTGCAATCCCCACAGCTAGCGTAATGTTGTATTATAGTTGTTCCTAATTTTATGATACATTTTGAGGAAGGCTTTTGCCCTTCATTTTCTTTTGGGAAGATAAAAGAACTTGTACATAGTATGAACATAAATATTGGCTTTTATATTCCCATTTTATATTTTTTGCTTCTTTTGTTTTTATTCTCTTTTTCCCTTCCCTGTTTGATAGTGAGTGGCATGAGAATTCCAGTTTAACTGTGCAAAGTTTCTATCACTACTTTGAAATGCCTCGAATTCATCAGGCATGAATCATGTGTATATGGCAGTCTTAGAATATGGGTATGCAAAACTCCCTTCACCTTTTGAATCGTGTGTATATGGCCGTCTTAGAATATGGGTATGCAAAACTCCCGTCACCTTTTAACATATCTGAGACAATGAAGTGTGTATAATTTTCCAGTTTTCTGTCTCTATTTTTTACTTTTTGTTTCTTTTTAAGTATATTCTCTACAATTGTAATAGGATAAGATTTTTATTGGTGGCACAATTGGATACGATTTTCAAAAGAGGTTTTGTGTCAGCAACTTTAACTTTGGCTTTCTCCCAGAGGGGAAAAAAAAGAGAGATTGTCTGAGAACCAATGTTATGAATTTGGAACCAATGGATAGTGTGTGGAAATTGCTATGTGTCTCCTCTAAATCAACAGTTTGGTGTTTGAGTGTTTATTGCAGGCAGAGCGGCGGAATAGCATTATATATCAGTGGTGAAACAATCAGCAGAGCTTAATCGTCCAGGCGCTGAAAATATTACGGCCCGGCTACTTTCTGACGCCATACATCAAGAAGTTGGGTATGTTGTATTCCTCTTTACAGCCTTCATTGGTTTTAACTGGTGCTCTTCCAAGAATTTGTGGCTTTAGTCTATAATTTATATAATTGTGTTTATGATGATATACACATGCGTAACACAAAATTAATTGGGGGTTCAAAGCTTGGAGTACTTTGATTTGTAAGTAGTTGAGACTTTTAGAGCATTTGGACAATCCCTGAAGAGAGTGGGATGCATGCAATGACAAACTTTGACACCAATTATTGGGTATATTTTCGTAATGCAACTTTTGAGTTCATTGCAGCATTTTTAAATCTGTTGGTTAGAAGAAAGAGAAGAGAAACCACACAAAGAATATTTGCTTTTCCATGGTTGGTGCACTGATCGAAGAGAGTGAAAAGAGAAATAGGGTGATTTATATGTTGTCTATCATTCTCTGTAAATGTATTCTTCTCGGTATCAGATGATGAGGGTTTACCTTATAGAAAATGAGTATTCCTGTTGCATTTTATTTTGTGGTCCAAGTGAAAAATCTATCATCTTGAATGTTGCATTTGCAAAATTGCTAATTGGACATATTAAGTTGTAAAGGTTGGAAACAATCAGATCTGATGTTGTCTCTTCCTTACCTTCCTTAATGCAGCACTCATGAATTCTTAGTTCTAATGCTGGGAAAAATGCAAGTGGGTCCATTTGAATTTCGTGGGACATCCTAATGCACCTTACTTCCTTTTTTTGGTTCACACAACTCTAGTATTTAGTGTATCCATTTTTTACTACATGATTCTTCCCAGTTTGTGTAAAGAGATACAAATTTGTTTGTTAGATCTTTAGGTTTAGAATATGCTTTGCATTGAAGATAACACTTCAATCATATGCACATATGTTGATCATACAAACAGGACATCTTGATTATGTGGATACAAGTTTCCATTTGCCAACCAAGTCTAGATGCATCCGTTTTCTTAGGCGAATTGGCAAGTCTAGATGCATCTGTTTTCTTAGGTAAACTTAATAGAGATTACACTCCTGACAATGTGTTTGGTGGAAACCCATTCCAAACACCCTTGGCTAAACTTGCTGGTCATCCCACTGTGGCGGCTGAATGTTACTGAATATGATACCTTCTGGTTCAACTTTGAGAAATAAAGCATATTTGGCTCAACGCTCACATCTACTCCTTTTGGTGCAGTAACCCTGACAGAATAAGAAGAGTATGCTTCACCCACATTTGTCACGGTCCTCGTAAATGTTTGACATGTGCCTAGTGCAATTGAAAATGAAGGGTAGTTTAGTTCCCCTTCGGTTATGCTTGATTCTTCTGAGCATTTGATTGGCCTGTGCACAATGATCCCAACTTGCTCATCTGTATATCCTAGACCGCACAAGTATGGGAGATAATCGTTAGGTTGGATGTCGTAAACTAACCCGGGATCATTTGCCTTTGATGGGTTAACATGGCCTGCACCGGTGGCAAAGATGTCTGCTGGTTGAAGTGTTTGATCGACAATTGGTGCGCCGTTGACATTCACCAAATCAGCCGAGGTCATTATAGCAGATTTAATGGCAGCTGGTGACCAATAAGGGTGAGAGCTTTTGAGCAATGCTGCCACACCACTGAGATGAGGGCATGACATTGAAGTGCCAGACATTACATTGAATATGGATTTCGAGTTTTCATTGAGAGGTAATGGCCAAGCAGCAAGAATGCTGACCCCAGGTCCAATAATGTCTGGTTTCAGAATCCCTGGACTTTCTGTGTTTGGCCCTCTCGAGGAAAAAGAAGCAACAGTAGGAGCCAATGGATCTCCGATGATAGTTCCTTTGAACAAGATTGCTGCGACAGGTGTTGTTGTTGAGTTAATATAGGCTTTGATCTTCAGTCCGGCAGCATAACTCACGTGTGTTGCAGGCAGAACATGAGCATCGGCTGCAGTGCTGAAGCCATCAGTTTCTTGGTTCATGAGAATCATTGCTGCACCACCAGCATTTTTCACTTCCTCTCCTTTAGCAATTCTTGCTATCCCTCCTCCTCGATCACACAATACTACTTTTCCTTTGACATTTATACCTTTAAAGGATCCCTCACCGCAGAAAGAAGAATTTGATTTGCCATTGGATCCGGTGTAAACGAGAGGCAATGATGTTTGAGGGAAGTCATCTGGTTGGAACACGGACTCACCATCAAGTTCTTCCCCGTTTCCAAGTTTTGCTGTGGCTTTGATGTGTCTATCAATGGTGCTTGCTCCAACAGTTAGAATCCATGGGGCTCCATTCCGTATTGTGTCGTTGAAAGGGCCGAAGTTTCCTGCTGCGCAACTTACAAATATTCCTTTTTGAATTGCTGCAAATGAGGCTACTGCAATGCTATCATTAAAGAATGGAACTAAATCCTCTACTCCGAGAGAGATTGAGATCACATCAACGCCATCAGTGACAGCAGCATCAATTCCAGCTAACATATCACTTTCTGGACAATCAGGTCCAAAACACACTTTGTAAATTGCCAAGTGAGCATGAGGTGCTATCCCAGCTGCTGTTCCTTTAGCCTGTCCCAGTGTATTGGCATTCTTCACAAACCTACCCGCAGCTGTACTGGCTGTGTGGGTTCCATGCCCATCATCATCAAATGGTGGCATTGGGTTCACTTCTTTTGAAGCCTTGGCTGCAATGTTAAATGACCTTGCACCAATGATTTTGTTGTTACAGTCCGAGCCATTGAATTCACACTTCCCTTTCCATTTGGCAGGTGGCGGAGGCATTCCTTCATCGCCAAACGAAGGATGGCTTGGCAGAACTCCAGAATCCACTACTCCAATGATGACGCCCTTTCCCAATTTTGATTCTTCCCAGAACCCCATATTGTGGTGCAATCCCAAGAAGTTGGGGGTATGTGTTGTTTGTACACGGAACATTCTTTCTGGATGTGCCGACACAAACCCATTCTTCATTTTCATAGCCTTCACTTCATCCTCTGTCAGTCTTGCTGCGAAGCCACTGACCACATTTTGGTACGAGTAAAGCAAGCGGTTTCGTTTGTTTGAGTTTTCAGAGGTAACCGACAGAAATGACTGGTGATAGCTACCCAAATCATCATATTGGGTAAGAACTCGTCCCTTCGGTTGCTTTATGTGCACGACATAAGTTTTCAACTCATCCTTGTCTATTCCTTCATCCGCCCTGGGAAAGTTACTTCCCTCGGCAACCTCGGGACAGAAATTCAGCAGAAAAATAAGAGTGAGAAGAAATGTGATGGTAGCCATGTCTGGCAAATATTCACACTTCATTGAGAAATGCAATAGAAGAAATGTGTTGCTGTTTGTGTTTCTATAATGATTTGTTGCAACGATATATATAGAAGTTCCAGGAGGAGATGGGCCTGTGTCTCCATATGAGTGAGTTTGTCATTGTTTTCGCAGGTACTGCTAAAAGATCATACTGATATAGCCGGTTGGGAATTGTTCAAGCTGTGCCGTACCGCAAAAAGAGCACATCTAAGTGCTGCTAAAAGAGCATATCTTTGTTTTTTGTTCAGAATAAAAAGAGCATATCTAAGTGCTGCTAAAAAAGAGCATAATTATGTGGACTATTGAGAATGTTTAAGCTCAGTTCTATTCTCTTAAGACGGCAACGTGAGTATGTGTATGGACTTGTTTAGAGGTTGGATGTAATGTTTATTTTCTTGGTAGGATTCTTGTTGGTTTCTAATGATTAAATTTTTTTAATAATTGAGAACAACTTCGGCCATATACTCTTTAACTCGACATGTGTGCAAATCACCTACAAATTACACGCATCAAATTGGGGTCTGTTGTAGCCAATTTAGACTCATGATACCGTGTGGATTTGGGTATAATTCTCTTGTTGTGGCATTGTGAGCTTGCTCCCAATCACATTACCAGAAAAACAAAGGGAGCACTGGAATTCATGCGAGATCCCAAGTGATGAGGTCGGAAAATTTACCGATAACAAGTATGTACTTGTTGAGCTATTTGGATCTTCTTTTCATTAGTATTCTTTTATGGAAGCACCTAAAGCGTCGCAGGCGAAAGACCTAACTAATTTGAAAAATGTTATTGAAAGTTAATTTGGAGACTCAATTCAATGTAAGCATTACATTAGAATTGGGTTCAATTTAATATTACATACACATCACAATTAATAATCTAATGACCATATTTAATTAGGTCCCTGATTAGATCTTTAAATTAGGTTTT